AGCAGATTTCTATATTTTGGATTGCAAAAGTCTTGTCGATGGGGAAGTACCCCCAGCTACATTAAGATAGCCTTACTTGTGAGTCAGTTTTTGTGTTGCGCTGCTATAAAGTTATGCGGCTTACAAGAAGACAGAAAGAAAAGGTCAAAATCAAAGGAGTACAGCAGAGATATTCAGACCTTTAAACACTAATATGGATGAGGGTACAGAAGATGTGGATCCTACATTTCACATAATGCAGCTCAATAGCAAATCAAATCATGAGTGATGTTATACCTTTAGTGAATGGGCCAAATTTTTACCATTGTTAGGTCTGAGCTCCGCCTCACGAGCGAGACACCATAAATGTTGGGTCTGTAGGCACGGGGAACTATATGTTGGACCTTCGGTTGTTTATCAATTCATAAGCTATCATACATTAAGAAAATATTAGTATCAAAATAATAACTTTAAATGAATTGAAGTCCTCAGGGGCACCAGCCTAAATAGGCAAAATAGCCAATATTAGTTCAGCCTCAAATTATTAAGATTAATCTGGAACTCTTAATAATTAACTTAATAACTATAACCAAATTACCATATCAACGGTAAGTTAAAGTCAAAGGATTGGAGTTCTGCTGAGTAGAAGTTGGCAATATTCATGCTTGTGCAACATTAAACACACCAGTAGTTATACTTAAATACATTTATTTACAATAGGACAGAGTAAAACACAATTTGTGTATGTGTGTGTATGTGTGTGTGTGTGTGTGTGTATGGGGGTGTGTCTGTGGGGACACAGACAAATGCAAGATGTCCGATTCAAAATGGTCGCTGTGACCACATTGCCTGAACAAGGAAGACTACACAAAATGGCGATAAAGAAAGGAACCAATCAAAATGGCCGCTGAGACCACCTGGTGTGCGGGGGAGGGAAGGTGTGAGTTTCTTTGTTAGCCTAGCTCATGTAATCTAAAGGTACCAGGTTAGAGGGAGATGGTTTGCTGCATGCATGTTCTCGAACTGAGATGTACTACAGGTATGTGTGTGAACAGTGAAAAGTACCCAACTAATTGTTTGACTAACCACAACCTAAGAAAACATAACAACAACAAAACATTAACCAACAGTTACATGTTCAAAGGTTTAGATATCTGCTGCTTAGCTGTGCTATGCTAGGTAAGGTTAGGCCTAGTCAGTTAACATTACCCAGTACTTGTAACAAAATAAACATCCTTTCAAGTGTTGTTGAAGTGTCCAGTGAGTTGGGTGGCTTCCTGGTGGAGTAAAGTCCTGTCTGGCTGTGTGACTTCCGCTCTTATCGCCTTAGTTCTTCTCACAGAGTTAGCTGTTCCACACTAACTCTGCTGTGGCTCCTGTTGCTTGGAAAATCAGCTGGCTGACCTTGTGTTGTAACCACTGATTCGAAAGAGAACTTGGTTCATGCCAGTTAATCCTAAACAGGTCGCTGCTGTTTAGGAGAAGAGTGTTGCAGTCTGCTGTGAGCAGGACGGGAAAAGAAATGTTGTCTCAGGTAGCAGGACTGACCTGGGCTGGGGCCTTGTTGCTCCTTGAAGAGCCAACAGGGGAGCAAGCCAAAAAGAAAAGAGAAAGAACAGAGAAGGAGATCTGGTTTTGTCTGGTAACACCCTGGGGGGTCTCATGTCACACACTGACCAACACTGACTGGTCAGTGAGGTCCCTGTGGGAGGGTCGTCCCCAAGTGTGAACAGTGAGCAACTGTAGGGAAGTGAGTTCTATTGTCTGTAGAACAAAGAGCATGTGGTCTCCACCACTTGAGTCCCAACACCATGAAAAAAAAAAAAAATCATTTTGTTCTGAGCTCATTTTCATTTGCACTGTGAGCTTGTTTATGTACTGTTGTGTCTTTTTTGCGTTGTGTATTCATAAAGTTACTCATGAAACAGGTCATTTTAATAAAAGCAAATAATAATACATTTTATTCACATAGCCCTTTTCAAGATACTCAGACACTTTATTTGACAAATGACATGCAACACTTTGACATCTGAACAGAGGTGCCAGTGGCCTGTGGTACCTGCTAATCTGACACCTCCTGTGCAAAACAACCTCACAGGTCATTTGTGCAGTAGGTTATTATTACACATGGTTATGTTTTGCTATTAGGTGACATCTAGCGGCCGCAGTAATTGACAGCAGCAAAGGGAAAAGTGCGGTGATGTAGTTTATAGAGCGACAAAGTCTGAGTCAGGAGGCTGTTGTGGTGGATGGACGGGTAAACAAAACACAGGAATATGACACAAGAGAGCGGTTTCGATTCCAATGTGAAAGTTGCAGTTCATGTTCTTTCTATTATCCATGACCATTCAACAAAGTTAACCATTTGTTATTACTGTAACCATGACAACAAAGATTGTCTAACGTTGAGGAAGTAATCACTTTAACCCAAATCATGATCTTTTGCTAAACCTTACCAAGTACTTTTTTGTGCCTAAACCTAAGCCAGCCATGACCGTTACTACAGTAACCATGGCGATGAACATATGTATGCCACTCCTGGTACAGTCCATGTGTTTATTATTATAACCATGACAACCAAGGTCCAATACACTCCTATGGGATCGTATCAGAGGGTTGAAAAACACGACCTGTATCGTTCAGGTTGGAGGACCGCTACTGGAACTGGAAGTTGATTCAAACTGAATCAGGTTTGAATTTTGCTTTTGGCTGTATTGTATCTTCCGTGTTTGTACGAAACAGAGAAAGCTTGTGTTCTTGTGCGCGATTTAGCAGCTGGGTGGGAAATTGACATATCGCTTCATCAAGAATCAAAAACAGTTTCCCTCCTGTATTGAAGAAAGCATGTCTCTTAAGCTAATGGCCTTACAAGGACACTGAGGCTGACAGTGTAGATATGCCTCTCACTAAAGAGGTTGCATGTTGGATCTCCTCCAAGAAATGTTTCATCCTTCAGTTTTTACACCTGAGCGAGCATCCATGTATTTGCAAGCATGTGTCCTTGTAGGTGTGTGCGTGACCTTAAACTCGCTACATATCAATTCTTGTTATTTTCATCTTAAATAAAAGTTACATGGTCAGCGCGGTTTAAAACCTGCTGCATTTACAGCTCAGACATCAATTTACTGTAGCCATTAGAAATACTCTTTTTTGAATCTACTTTATCACAGTAAATAAAGCAAATAAATAACCAGTAAATTGATAACCAGTCATAGACTGTGAAAGCTTGAAAGCTATTGCTCACACGCACACACACACACACACACACACTCAGTTTTTTGTCCTCTTTCCAAGCACCACAAATGCCCCAAGGATGCCATTGACCCTACTGCAGCCACTGAAGTGGAAGTGACTGATGCTCTTACAAAAGCTGTGGCAGCGTAAATGGAGCCGAGATTCTTTCAGCTGCAAAGCGTCAAGCTCCTATTACATTGCCACCACTCTAAACTGTTTAAATGTTGAAATCTCTTGTTCTTCTGTACATTGGAAAATTAGCCAACTGAAAGTTAAATAAACCCGGATGATAAACAGGCATTTGGCAGCCAAAAGTAGAGTTTGTACAAAGTATGAATTTATTCCTCCGCTGGCTCGCTCACTTGTAAGTTATACTTTTTTTTTCTATTTTGTTTTTTTACTTTTCTTCAACTCTGTTGGTGCTTTCTCAGCGGGATCCACAGATTTGTCTGAAAATATAGCAGTGTGTGTTGCTCTGTGGAAACAGTCAAAGATCGGTGACCCAGCTCCTGTATCAAAGCTGCATTTGGTGACTGGTGCAACCAATCTCTTGTAATTGTGCAGAACTCTGTGGTGCAGTTTCAGCTCATTGTCTCCATCAGTTTTGAATGCCACAAAGCAAGCGTGTGGGCAGATTAACAAAAGAAACCTGATGACTGCTCAAGAGCTGCATTTGCATTCATACAATGTGTCTAGTTACTAAGTGTATTGAAAAATTGTCAAATGTTTGAACAAACATGATTACTAATAATTGAAATGGTATTAGTATTCCCATTTTGATGCTGTCAGAACATCATGATACATGAAAATGTCCTCTTTTTTATAGAGAAACTGAGAACTGCAGTTACTTTATAATGGCCCATATTATTATGTGAAATTGTAGAAATTAACTAAATTTTATTGAAGGTGATTCTGTAGTGAAGCAAAAGACATATGGTTATTTTCAGTTATAACACACCAATTGGTATCTACTTATTGTACCAGTTTTATGCAGAGCATGCTTACTTAAAATAAGCCTGTAAAATTCAGCTGATCCAGGTCCTGTTCACTACACTGTCTTGTGGTACAGTTACATGCTTTTTATGTATCAGTGAGCTTTTAACAGCCGTGGTGAAAATCATGTGAAACGAAGAACCAAACACTTCACCAGCTGGTTCCCCTGATTAGTTCCTCCTTTCTTGTTGAAGGTTTGCTGATCAGTGTGATGAGCCCCCATTCAGACAGAAAAAAAAAAACCAAAAAAAAACACTGGAGTTTGCAGTAAAATGTAGAGAGTCCTCATGTAGGAACACCTAGCTGTTATGTAGCCCACCCTAACTGATATAAATGGGGAGGACAAAATAATAGTAACACCTGTCTGTTATATTAGGATAGGATGTATGTCTGGTGGTCAGTGTCATCACAGTTGCCGCTTGAAATCGTTTCTTTCATTCTCTCAACATGATAAATCTGATTATCCAAGTCCAATATGACCCATATAACATTTGTAATATGGATACTAACATGTCAATATGTTAATATACAGCATGTTAACTGTTATATTAATTTTAGCCAGTTGTTCCTAATAAACTGGCGACTGAGTGAATGTTCTTGAGGCAAAGGAGTAATTATTGAATTTGACAAATATGGCATTTAAGTTGTTTCTTTGACCTGATTGTTTACATTTTGTCAAGCAAGAATATTGGACATAGTTTTTAGATATCTGTCACGTCTATATGTGCTTCATATAACTTCTACTCCACTTCAGAAAAAGTCAGACTTTCACCGTTATTTTTATTCCTTTACAGGTGTGCACAGGGGGAAGTTGTCACACACACAGCATGGCTGAACCGGTCGAGTATACTGTACGCCGGAGAAGATAAATGGTCGGTGGATCCCAGAGTGAGTCTGGTGACCCTCAATCAAGAGGAGTTTACCATCAAGATTGAAAACGTGGACATGACAGATGAGGGGCAGTATGTGTGCGCGGTCCAGACAAGCAGTCGACCAAGAACCACCTCTGTTCACATCCTCGTCCAAGGTAACACATACGTACTACCTCTGCTATTGCTGAGGCTACTGCTACTACTAAATACCAGTACTAATAATATGAATTTTGAAGGAATTCTATAAAACTGCTGTTTCCTTTTAACCAGCTGCCAGTTATAGATCTGTATGTTGGATTTTCTATAGGCTCAGCTTGACAGGTGTCTAATGTAATAATAATCTGATGCACAATTACTCATATCACACTGAGGTGATCTGTTTATGTCACACAGTATAAATGATTTACACTGTGTGATTGATGGTTGTGTTATTCCTGTGCACCAGCACATGAGGGCATGAGTGAACAAACCAGAGAGTAAAAACAGACGTGCTGTCTCTCTTGAATCTCATTTCCTCATTCATTGCTCCACTGGAGCAATTAGGGGCTAAATGCCTTGCTCAAGGAGAGGGAGGGGAGTGTGTGCTTCATTCACTACGTTGGGTAAGGTTAATGGGGAATACCAGATGTTAAGATGCTTTGGCTAAAATTATGTGTGGAGTTGTAATAGTGTCCTCATGGAAATGCAGTGCACAATGAAGTGCACTGCGCTGTATACACATAGCATAATGAGTAAGTTAAATGCAACCAATTTAATATGCAGATGAGCCGTGCAGCATAAAGTGCTGCTCACAAGGCGCCGACCCCGATTTCATAATAGAGAAAGAACCAGATATTATCAGCCAAGTTTGGATTTCTTATGCTCTCAGTTTTCTTCTTCAACCTGATGCCAAACAATAATAATGCAACATTTATGACACGGAAAAGAGGCAGAGCAACCAGCACCACCTGCATTTTAAAACCACAATTACCATTAAATTGACTCCATCTTTTTTTTTTTTTATTCATAATTTCTGAACTGATTGTAAATGAACTCGGAAAAATCTCCTCTTGAAACAAATTATTTTTTATTAAACTAGTGAAAGTTGTAAGGATGGTAACACACTGTGTTGTTGTTCATTTTATTTTGTCAAATTTTACACTGTTAGGGTGCATTTATGTAAATGACATAATTACATCTTAATTCTACTGCAGTGTCTACTTACTTACTGTGTCTATTCCTTTAAGGTACACATACATATTCAGTGTAGTTAATAGGCAGGTCACAGGGGCAGGAGAGAGCAGATGCGCGTGATCTTGCTGAAGAGCACTTTGACTGATGTGGACACTGGGGTCACTGCAGTTCAAGACTAAGATAACTTTCACCACCAGCTCAACCTTCCTCTTCATTAGAGAGGGTGACTCACATCATGTTAAGGCTAAAGACAGTCTAATATATATATATATATATATATATATATTTTTTTTTTTTTTTTCTCCTGAGAACTTTTACATACAGAATCCCAAACTCCTGTGCACAAGTTGTTATCTGAAAATAAATATTCAGCCTCGGCCAAAGTCATGTGGTATGTAGTAATGGGGCTCTCCTCTAATAGTCAACCAAAATTTAGTGGATGAGAAGAATCTTTGTCAGTTTTAATTGGTCTGTTGGTTGCAGGGCAAACAAACTAAATTAAATTCCATTCTTCAGATTTGATGGAACTACATAGTTATGCAGTGAAATAATACTAGGGTAATAAGATCGAAGAATGAAGGATGAAATGAAAACTATATGCTAAGAAAGACTAAGAATAAACAAAGAAAGAACAAAAGATACAAACAACATGGTAATTTGTTAGATAATCCCCAAGGATTTAAAATTATAATTGATGACAATTTATAATCCTTGCGACTAGGCTTGGATTGGTCATATGTCAATGTTGCAGATATTTGTTTTGCATTAAACTTTCAAAATTGCTTGAAATTTCCTGCAGTCAGAAAGTAGTTACCTTTTTTTTCCTCTTGTATCATCAGTCAGGTGCTCAACCTTTGGAACATTTCAAATTTGAAATTTTTTTAAAGACAAACTGATTTCCTTGCAAGGAATGTTATAATCTGTAAAGTATCATTCAGTGACCTCCAAACAACGCTTCTCTTGAAACACTTGTAAGAGGCATTAATGTTAGGTAAACTACCTTAAAATGATTAAAATCATCATCAGAAACATGCAGTGAATAGTCAACTAATGGCTTGTACTAAGTCAACCAGGACAATCTTTGGCTGATGGCAGTCCTAGATTCTACCCTTCTGTGGAGCTAGAACAGTCACAGTAACATTTTAACATTGAAAATAAAATTTAGCATTGAAAAGAAAATTTGAACTGAAAAAGGAAACACTGGGATTGAAAAAGCTATATTGGAAAAAGTTGTATTGGCACTGATATAAATATTGGCAATGAAAAGGGTTCCACTGAAAAATAAAACAAAGAGGCAGAGAAAAGTAGACTTACCTGCGGTGCGGGAGTTACAGGTGAACTGGTGTAAACCATTGCCTAGGTATGCGGTCCTGTCAGGCTTCTGAGTATAAACAAACCAAGCGCTCCTTGCTCTTCCCCTCTAGTCTCCCCTCTCTATGCCAAAACGGTGAAAGAAAGTTGAAACTGAAGACCGGTGACACAGAAAAAGTAGTGACAGTGTAAAATGTAATTGTCACTGAAAAAAAGACAGACATGAAGAAAAAAATCACATCATAACACAAAAAAGATGAAAATTAGAAATTAAAATAAGATTGTAAGATGTTGAGATGTGTGAATACAACTTTTCCAGTACAACTCTAATTTCTAGCCCCATACCCTTCCACTTAAAAAAATAATGTTTCTCTGACATAAGTTGGTAATTGGCACCCACTACTATCTAGTCTACTGTATAATTAATAGACTAAATTATATCATTATATACCAAGACCATTAACCTAATATTTTGTAGCACTGCAATCAAGCACCTTTTGTAGCACTTAATGAGACGTCTTCACTTCTGAGCTGGTAGTTTGGTCCACGCCTCCTGAGAAAACAGCTCCAGTTCCAACTGTGAGTCTCAGCTCTTTGCATGGATGTTCAGTCGGATTAAGATCAGGACTCATAGCAGCCCAATTCAGAACGGTCCAATGTTTTCTTCTCATCTATTCTTGGCTGCTTTTAGATGTATGTTTTGGGTCATTACCCTGTTGGAGGAGCCATGACCTGCAACTGAGACAAAGCTCTCTGATACTAGACCTTCAGAATATTCTGATTTCATTGTGCCCTGCACTGATTCAAAGCTCCCTGTGCTAGACGCTGCAAAACAGCCACAACTGAGAGTTTCACAGTGGGGAAAGCTTTTTTTTTGTTTTTTGTTTTTTTTTTTTTTTCTTCTGTGAAGATTGAGCTGATGTTACTTACCAAACAGCTCTGATTTAGTTTAATTAGTTTGCAGGACATCTTCCAAAAAGCCTTGTGGCTTGTTCACATGAATTTCACCATACTCTTCTGAGGCTATGTTATAATTCTCTTTCAAAAGTGGGCTCTTCTCCCATTGAGCCCACTTTCATTGAGAAAGCAGTGGCGTGATGGGACAATGTTGTATGTCGATCCAAGAGGTCCGCTTGTATTAGTTTTGAAGTTTCCCTTTGTTCCTTTACCACCATTTGAACTATCCTTCTGTTCAAGGGAGGTCACCCAGTGGAGCTAAAACTTAATATTAGCAGCTGCGGCCACAGGAATATGAAGCTGCTTTGAGATGGTCTTGTAGCCTTTACTTTGACCATGCTTAGCAATTATATTCATCCATCAGACTCTCCTTTTCTTTCTCTTGTCCATGTTCAGTGTGGTGCACCTAATGATACGAAACAGCACAAAGAGGAAGGGTTTTATATTTTAAAATGTTTTGAAAAGATAGAATACACCTGTGATATTAATTGAAGAAAACATTCTGCTTGAAATATCAATCCAATTTAGTTATTTATCATCACTTCTAACAGGTAGCAGTCATTTTATCTGGCCATTTTAATATTATTATTATTATTATTATTATTATTAAATCCTTAATTTAAACAGATAGTCTCATTGAGTTCTAGATCTTTTTTACAAGAGAGACCTGTGTGCAAAAATAGACATACGATTTATACATTGATAGAGACACACAAAAAGGCAGTTAACATGGCTGCGTGCAGATAATTCACAGGCATACATTACACATTTTCACATTAAAGAAAAGCATGTGTACGTGTGGTTGTAGATATATACATGAGTACAACCTTTAAAACGTTCCAATGAAATAAGAAAGTGTAACTTCATATTTTTTTTTAGCTCATTCCATTTGTATGCAGTGTTTGAAGCCAGTTTTTCCGAGTTCAGTGTGAACAGGAGGTACAATGTTAAAATGTCCTGTGACCTTACGTTGTAAGTGCTGTGTATAGATGTTATGAATTAAATTTTAGAAAGTCTTTGCAAGAATTGAGCTTTTTTCACAGCTTCTTTGTTTTATTTCCAAAGGCACACAGGTACACATAACAAAAGAGCTTTTGATTTCATTACTCCTCAGGAGTTTGGTTTAAATGAGGTGTAAGGGCACCAATACTTTTTTGCCACGTCTGTATGTTTCAGGACTTTTAGGACTTTATCCCATCTCTGCCTTCAAGGCTCAAGTTTTAAGAAACTGAGGAACCAAAAGTCTTCATCTACAGTAGTTTCTGAAATGGTCTCAGACTTTTGGACCCCACTGGTCTGTTTATCACATTATGTGCCAACACTTCCCTGAATGGGAGGCTATTTCTGTGGATGATGGCATTTGAAGTACAGCCTCATATATTTAAGCTGAAAATCTGTCTGAAATGACATTAGTCTCAGTGATTGATCAGACATTATCGGTGTGACATCAGTCATTCAGCTGGGATTTTATCCAATAAAACAAACTAGAGGTAATGGATTTAAGTTTTCTGTGCTGCAATATTCTTTGAACTGTTAGTTATACATGCTGCTCAGAAGTTGAAAAGTAATACTGTTAATGTAAACAGTGGTGTCATTATCAGATTGTCATTTTCACTTAGTAACTTATCAAGATTGACAGGAGTAAGACACAGTTACTTGAATAGTTTTTTTTGAAGTACTCTATATGCAGGACACTTTAATTGTTTCAGACACT